GATCCCATTCTACTGCCGGCAGACCAAATTTCTTATCCGCCTTGTGGGAAAGTCTACAAACATTCGAGGTATATGTTATTATTAATTTAAATAGAACCCCTTTCCTACGCACGTAAAACTAGGACTGGCGGTTGACAAGGATCTTGGCTGCATACTTATCTATGGGCGGCTGGGAAAGCGTCAATAATTTAATCAATCAATCGATCAACTAAGGGCTGAATACAACTCAAGATATGCGTGGGGTAACTCCGACATGAACCGTTCCACATTTAACACCTGCTGGCTTGAGCGGGTTTTGGGTCCTTGTAGCCCGTATGGTCGGGAGTTCGAAGCATCCATCACTTCTACAGACCCCTAAGGGTCAGTTGGTGATCTGGTATTCGTCAGGTATTTGTGGCCAAGCATCTATGCCATCCAGAACTGCCAAACTCATGCCGCCATTGATATGGACTTGGATATGACAATGGACCACAAATGCCCCCGGATTCACAACGTGATACCGTACAGCTGTCCATACCGGATCGGACATAGCGGCGGGTGTGGCTATAGTATCAAAGAGTGGGGGATTGTGGAGATTGAAATTATGAGGAATATCGCGCATTGCCTCAGCGACAGAGGGGTATTCCCACTCACCCTGACCGGATCCAATGTAGAAAAACTTATTTGAGTGTTTATGTATTGGATGTTCAGGTTGGGGCGCCGACCTCACGTAGAAGATCAGGTCGACCCAACTGCCATTCGTGGTGCGGATGGTCAGGTCACTATGCGCAACCTCGGAGTCCGGGTAGAAGAGAAGAGGTGCTGCTTCTTCCAGGGAGAGGGGGAAGCTGCCGTTGCCGAGGGTCCATTGGTAAGAGGAATTAAACCGATCAATGTGCAGAACAAAAGTCTGATCTGCTGTTTGTGCCGGTACCTCCACGGGAAAGGGGACGACTTGTGTTTCGTCCAGGAGTACTGCATCAGGTGTGGCGTTGCGACCGGTGATGTCGATGTAAGGGGTAGATGGGTCGTTCTGGAACCGTACAGCAGCATCATAGGACATTATTGTCGTGGTATTCAGAATTTGATTTCCAACTATGTTCGACCGCACTGTATAGTCACGGGGAGGCTTGTCAAGCTTGACGAGGACAGAGAATCGCCGTCCAGGAACCAATTTAACGGCCTCCACAAGCTTGGGTACAATATATCGCCCATCAACCGCATAAACATACATTGGATGCTCGTCAATCGAGAAGGAGAGGGTTGCAAGACCACCGGCATTTATGAGATCCCAGCTGCTGTATTGAAGCCCGGGATCAACAAGCAGTGTCTCCGTTGCTCCATGTGATGCGTTGCACCCCGAAAATAAGCTCTGAGGAACGGCGCTAAAATTGTGACGGTAAGGACCTTGGGCGGCTGGGATGGTCGGAGGCAGACATCTAATTGTGTTTCTGTCAGCGAGGCACAACCTAGAGGCCTGCGGTTATATTACGCACCCAATATCGGTTAGATGAGATCCATTGAGAAGAGGCTTCAGGTCCTCACTGGTAAACTCGTCAATTGTCTCTTGCGATAAGCAAGTAACAGATCCTTTGCCATTTATTAACAGTGCGTTAGCACAATATGCATCCAGTCCAGTAGCTTCCTCGGCCTCCCATACTTGCTCGGATGCCAAGTGACGCCAATCGGACAGGATGATTGGTTTTGTGTTCTGCTCTGCAATATGCATTGCTTCAAGTTGGCTAGGATCATCGGTGATCTGTGCAAACGGCCGTTCCACGGAATTCCTGGGGTGGATGTAGATTGCTCCATATAATCCATCCTCGAGATGGCCTCTTTCGTAAGAATGATAAAAGTAGCTCCTAGAATCAGTAGCTCTCCATTTATATGTAAAAGATAATCCTGGCTGAATCCCTTTTTGCGATACCCCGGGAACACCATCGGACCATGGAGTTTCTCTCTGTTCGATCCCTGCACAATATCAATGAAGTTATCAGAGCTTGACATTTCAATAACATGCGACCACTATAGGCGAGTCTCACCGTGAAAATGGACCGTCACTGGATAAGGGAGTTCATTCCACACTTGGACTTCAACCTCAACTCCTTGGCAAACCTCAAGGATAGGGCCAGGGAATTGGCCGTTCACCAATATACCCTTTCTTTGGAACCCATCCGGAGAGATATTTTGTTCCGTTAAGATCAACGCGAATTTAACCGGCACGGAGCTGGTTATCAGGTCAGGACAGGACCAATTCCCTATAGCCCGAACGGAATCTAGAAGGCCTAGGAGCATAAAGAAGGCAAAGAGAGGACTTGGGAACGCCATTATGGAAAGGACGTGGATGAGAGATATCGGCGTGCTCAATTCATCCTGGGTAGTGCTAGGAATTTATGTCTCTCATGAATCAAAACCCCTAATCTTAGCTGGGCTTCTTGGGTGCTAGCCTTCTGCCCATGCCCACTGACGATCTGCACCCATCGGGATCCCTAAGCCAGGGGTATAGGGAACAGGCACATAAGCGTGTGGCTGTGGAATGTGTATCAATATTTGCATTCGACAGCGTGAGCCGAAATGGCAGTACGCGCTTCAACGTCGGAAAACAACAGTAACAAAATGCCTAACTACGTGTCACTTGTGATGTGCTCACAAGGGATCTGATTACATCAAATCTGTCCCGAACACATCCGAATCATAGTGCGAACTACTTTCTAGACTAACCTTCATAGTTGCAGATCACTAGATATATAGTTGATTGCGCCCTGCGTCGATCAGGATCACGGATACCTACCCATGCATGAAGGATCATTTGTGCATTGCATCGGCATCTCGGAGCCTCGGAATGACTTACAGTACTGGAATCCCTAGTGTAAATGATATCCAGGCTTGGTATCCCTATATATGTGGACCAATATACTTAAAGTGTGCTTTCATTACGGTAGCAGAACACGCGGTTCACTCCGATGTGCGTTTGATTTGAGATCTGGCTTTTTGAACAAACTGGGGATATTCTAACGCAGCGCACCCAGGGCTTGGTTGGTAAAGCCGGCCTAAGTGGAAGGCCGCCTGTGCCTAGAATGGCTATAGAGGAGACGCCGGCCTTAGGTTGGCACGCTTGTATAGTGTATGGATACCACCAGATATTCTGTCAACAAGGACATCGTCAACACAGCTAAAGAGATTTGATGAGAGACCACGGTAGAATAACGGGCGATGGTGTTTCCTAGGGCGACGCCCAGGATATGAGCATAACGATGTGGTAGGCACCAGCTTAGGTAGCACGCTGGCCCGTCAACTCACAGCAAGGAGCCGTGAAGGGAGAAAGCGCACTTGGTGAAATTGATGTGAAGAAAGCCAGCTTGCCGAGGGTCATGTAAGCGCGGAAATCTTCCACCATGCAGTTGCTACTGGAGCGGTAGGTTGTTGTAGCGAGACCAATGATGGAATCCTCCCAATCCCATTCCTCTCCCCGAATACGTCGAATGACATACATCCTGTTATCATGGGACCCCGTTTTTCCACAGTTAGGGGGAGACGATAGAGGCCGGAATGGGTGAATAACGGGACGCATTCTTCACGTGAGATGAGACTCTGTTGGCACTCCTTGGGCCTGTCGTTCACCACTTTGGCGGTGTCAGCAGCCAAGCGAATGGGATAGACTATAAGGAATAAGACGTGGAAATTAGAGCGCTCGAGACAGGTCGAGATGAACAACTTCGGAGCGATCAGATCCTGCACCCGGTATTCCCTCTCAGTACCAAGGATCTAGGCATTATGCATTTCCTCGGACCGCCTCGGACCGCCCCAAGGTCCCATATGTTCCTCACGCCGTGCCAAGGTTAGGATTTGTCTGGATGGATTAGATGGATCATCGAGCCACCCTCAGAGAAATAGTACGGAACACTTGTTCCTATTCAGTCTACTCTGAGCTTCTCTGGGCCGAATTGTTCCTGTCCTCTAATCGTAGTATCTCCTTTAGACTTATTTCCCTGTTATCCGCAACGTGTATCTTGCTGATTGGCGTGAACCAGAAGCCGAGCCTCGGCTTTCTTCCTCTATCTTTCCTCCAATATTCTCGTCCGCCGTGTGCCGATTTGTTTTCTTTTGCACCTGTGTTGCCTGTTTGCTCGGTTCTGGCCTTGCTCGTAATCTGGGTCGGCAGTCCTTTCGTTCGCTGTTTTGCGGACCCGATATCCATAAGCATAAATGCAAGCACATAACCAATAGGAAGGGTGTGTGGGATCCACAGTGGTTTGGAATTGCATTTTCCTCTTCCGTTCGGGGTCTATCTTTTCCGGGGAAACCGACCGAACCCAGTTGGTAATGGGGCGAGCATAAACCAAGTCCACTTGCATAAAGTGGGGCTTTTCTGATTACACTCATTGGAGGCCCTTCTAGTTGACTCCGTGTCCGAACCCACTTGGTAAGTGGGGCGAGCATCAATCAATTCAGTGGGACCTACTCCATTAAGCTGGACGCATTTACTTTGTAGATAGACACCTGGTAAACAGCGTGAACAACAGCGCCCATGCTAAGGTCGTCATTTCTACTCTCCATGGGTATATATATCGACATCGACACACCTTCCCAATATTCCGCACAATATCTACTACGCAACAGAACCGCCTTCAATTACTACATTCTCGTCTATCATTCCTAGCCGACACTCAAACGCCAATATGTCCAAGCTTATCACTGTCGTTGGCGCCACCGGAGCACAAGGTGGCTCAGTTGTTGCCTCCGCTTTGAAGTCGGGTAATTACAAGGTCCGTGGTATTACTCGCAACATCAACAGCGAGGCAGCCAAAGCACTTACTGCTCAAGGAGTTGAGATGGTATCTGCGGACGCGAATGATGAAGCGTCCCTGGTAAAGGCATTCAAGGTGCGCCAGGCAAACATTCGAATTACGAAAAATCTCCACTGACGCTCTGAAAGGGATCCTATGCAATCTTTGCTGTTACCGATTTCTTTGCCGCCTTCGCACAGCACAATGCCGAAGAGTCAATTGAAATCGAGGCCTCGCAGGGCATCAACCTTGCTAAAGCAGCCGCCAAAACTCCTACTCTCAAGCACTACATTTGGAGTACACTTCCTGACAACAGGAAGATCTCAGGCGGCACATGTTCCGTGCCCCACTTCGAGAGTAAATTCAAGGTCGACCAATTTATTAAACAAGACCGAGATCTACTGGCCAAGACCACTTTCTTGTGGGTTACTTATTACGCTTCCAACATTGTCATGCCGATGATAGTCCCCAATTTTGTGGTTGGTGTCGATAGGATTCCACAATGTTTTTGACCTACTGACTCTGGATGCAGAAATCCTCCGGCAAGCACCTCCAGGTCTTCCCGGTCTCTGAAAATACGCCCATCACCACCATGGGCGACACCAGGGTTAATACTGGTATTTACGCTCTTGCGATCCTGGACCAGCCTCAACTCACCCTTCCAGGCAAGGTAGTCCTAGGCGCTACTGAGACCAGGACAGCCGCGGATGTGCTGAAGCTGTGGTCAGAGGTATCGGGCAAGCCTGCGGAGTATGTGGCGGTTTCCTTAGAGCATTATGATAAGCTGTGGCCTAAGTGGGGACTTGAGGTTGGCCTCATGTTCAAGTACTGGGAAGTAGCCGGCGAGAAGAGCTGGACATCCCCCGATGAGCAGGTTCTTACGAGCAGAGATCTGAAGATCACTGGCTTAGTCGGTATGAAGGAAGTATTTGCTGGAATTGATTGGTCATAGTGTCCAGTATTCATTGTCTTGGAAACGACACCCATGGCAGGGCAAGTGAATTACATGTTGGTCTCTTGAGAATGGAAATACAAATGCTTGGACTGAAGGCAAGCGAGAGGTCAGCGAAGGGGCAAAGAGTAGTCTGTCTAAGTATCAATCAATGCAGTGGGACCTACTCCTTTAAGATGGTCACCTCCACTTTGTAGATAGACAACTGGTAAACAGCGTGAACAACAGCGCCCTTGCGTAAGATGGCAAAAAGTGCTCTGCAGACCTGTTCTACAATGACACGTAATCAGAATAATTGCCTAGTGCGCGAAATATTTGCTAAACCTTCCCGATAAATGATATTCGTAGGAACTTCCTTGTTAGTTCCAACTGTACCGTGATTGCTCGGAAAGGATGGATGGCGGACTGAGGGCGACCGGCGTGGCAAGTGTACCAGACATGGAAGTGCGCGAAGTCCTGCACACTACGCAAAGCCCCCTTATGGCCCGCTGCAGATTTCCAAAACCTTTTATTTCACATTTGCAGAAAAGGAAACAACCACCCACCCCTTGGCGCAAGGGAGAGCCCTGGCAGTTGTGGCCACTTACTTTCCCCTAAGTTAGTGGTTAGAGAATCTTCAAGTCAGCACGAGTGGTACATTTCTAGGGACCATGAAACGTAGAGCAGCATGGGCCGGCGATTCCGGGATTCCCTGGGACCGACTAAACTCCGAGGTGCATGGTACATCAACAGCTCTCTCTCTCCTGGTTACTATTACTCGGTGAGGGAAGAGTAGACAACCGACAGAATAACGCATGATCTGCCGACTTATCACCACCTGTCCAGTAGCTAGAGTCGCCATCGCCGTATATGTAATAATATATTTACGCATGGTGTACGTGCGCCGAGCCTGTCTAGTATTTTCAAGGGAGTCCAACGCTAAGAGCATGTCGCAGAATAGATAACCATGAACTGAACATATTCCCTCCGATTTTATATCCCGCTATATCTAAACGGTGAGTTCCTCCTGGATTGGCGGGGGTTAGATATCATGACGAGCATGCTTACTTGCCATCCTGATACGCTTTCCAAAGATGTACAAGACAAACGGATAAGGAATGAACAGCACACACAAGCAGTCCAAGAGGGTGCATGCCCAGCCCACGCCGAGGTTATGGAACATAGCTGTTGCGAACAGCGGGAAGCCAGTTCTGAACGAGGATCGCATAAAGTCATTTCCAGCCAGGGAGGAGGCAGTCTATTTTGGATATGCATGTGCCAGGTAGGTAAAGATACTGTTGAAAATAAAACAGCCACCGACAGCAAAGAGTATAGAGGCTATGGTAGGGACGATCCAGTGGACAGAAGCAAAGTTACCTGTCCAGCTAAACCAGAAGATGGAGATAGGGAGTAAAATAACTCCGACACAGGCAGGCGGAAGCTGGTATTCTGGCTTAATATTCCAGTTTCCGCCAAAGTGTTTGGATTGATACTTCCATTTCCAGTAGAAGTATGCAGGAATCGCAATGCAACAGCTGGATACCAGGATTCCTAGGAAGGCTAGTCCGACTTCGCCGGGGTTGAAGCCGTGAAGTTCGCCAAACACAATGGGGAAAGCCTCAAACCAGATATACAGCATCCCGTATATAATGGAAATGTACAGGTTCATGAGGAAAACAACGGGCTCGAAGAAGCATAATTCGAAGGGTCTAACAAGTGCCTCGAATAGAACCACCTAGGATGTAATTGTTAATCGAGGCTAGCGAGGAGATTTTCAACCGTCCTGACATATGGATTTAGTTGCATGAGCTCTATCTCGGACTCAGACATGTAATTGGGGTTGCCAGTGATCTTTCTGATCCGCCGTGCCCGTTGACATAGAATGTTAGGGGCGTAGGTATCAGGCAGGAGAAAGAACTATATAACAAGAGTAAATGCCGAGACCCAAAGCAACTGCCAGATTGTCCAGATCCATCCGTTAACAGGAGCTGCAAATCCGCCAACCAGGGGGCCTAGAACAGGGGCTGCAACGGCAAAGCAGCCCCAGATGCCAATCATATAATCACGGGCTTGGGCTTTCCAGATATCACTCATAGATACAGCTCCAGTTGCAAGACAAGGGGAGCCAATAAAGCCCGTGAGAAAGCGAAAGACAAGAAGCATTCCAAAATTCTTAGCATAGATAATAGCAAACTGGAAGAAGACAAAGACAACCAGTGTGAGGATATAGATCGGGCTTCGACCAATATTAGGCAGCTCTGACAGGGGCGACCATACCATTGGGCCTAATATACTGTTAGTTGTTGCCCTTCAGGGGTCTGGGAGGACGGGAGGTACATACCAAGGCCATAACCAAAAACAAAAAGAGTAAGACCAAGGACATGCTGCCACGTTACTCACCCCAATCTGCTCCGAAACGCCAGGGATGCCTGGGGTGTAGATGGCAGAACCGATATAGATCGCAAATGTGAGCAGCCATATCTCACAACTAACGAGGAATTTCTTCGCGGTACTCCAGTTTTGAGGATTCTAGGTGCTCCCTATTAGCTTTTTGTTTCCGACAGGAATAATATCACAGTCTTCGCCTGCGGGAGGAGACATACCTCACTATCACTTGGCCCTCGCCAGTCCACAACAATAACGTCCTCCCCGGACATTGCTCCAGGTCGAATGACACTCGACCTCCCATCGAGAGTTGATTGCCAAGAGTTCCGCCGAGTCACTCGGGAGGCCTGTGACATGACACTGTATAACCCCTAGGTCTCGTCTTCTTCCGCACCTCCCACTGGTGACAGTGGCGTCTTTTCATCTCTGGCTTCCGGCTGCTCTCTTGCATACTGATGACAAATATCGTGAACTTTCTCTTCGGAGTACGGAAGCAGTCGGGACTTCGTCAAAAAACGAACCACCTTGCCAAACGCGGAGTCACTGATTGTGTCCATCGGGATGCCGTTAGTATTTGATCTTCTTTTGACCTGGCACTAGCAGGAAGCATATACTAACCTCCTTCACTTTGCCGCGGGAGTTATCGGCAAACGCAGCTGTTTACATAACCACAAAACCGAATCAATGTGACATCATGACTAGACCTTTCTAAGCGGCTGGTCGGGTTTTGAACTTTTATCTTTGGGCCTGCCTATGACTTATGGGTTCGCAAGACAACTTATCAAGTCTTACCTCCATAGCCTGTTGCCTATTTTAGAATCTAGGATTAGTAATATAAGGTCACATAGGCATGCGAGGCGTAGCTATGATGTTGGACTGTATAGGGATATCCGGGTCTTCTGGCAGAAGTTCAGCTTTCGAGAGCCATCCGGGCATATCAACTTGGATTCCTGGGGCAGAACGGAAGCGCATCCACACAGGTCCGGTATGATGTCCTCAAACATAAACATTGCATTAAACTATTGAGAGGATAATATAGACTGTGCATGCACCATGGCCAACTCCAAGATCCTCAAGTTAACGCTTGCTCAAAAACCCGTTAGTTAGTGGAGAGCTCCAGACAAAGTGCAAAAGCATAGATCGCCATAGCCTTGACGCATGTTTCTAGTCTTCTACATACGTTATCTTGTTGCACCGGAATTTCTCCATATAATTCCCCTTACATTAGGCCAAGGACTTAGGTGCAATTTACAGCGATTGATGTGTGCCGGGCTCATTGAGGCTGTTTTTCCTACTTAATGCCAACCTTCTGTCTCACGCCTGCTCCAGTTATCCAACACAGCTGCCCTCTCCTCTTGTGAAGCGGTGTCCAATTCCATAAGCCCTTGCCTGATTCGCGACTCTACCACGTAGTCCACTCGATTAGCACCATATGACTGCTCAATTTCTCGATGAATTCCTTCTAAGGGATAACCGAGCAATCCCCATAATCCTGTATTTATTTCATGATGCAGTTAGTCAAGATTTTGTTGGAATACCGTATGCAGCGATCACCGGCTCCACTCACCGGCTTGAGGTTTGAGAAGTACGCCTCCCACTCCTTTACCTATTCCTTTAGTCATTCCACCAAATCCCCCGTCATTCCAGCCCTGGCTGGGCTGAGTCACTAGTCCAGTAACTCCATCATATATGCCGTAGGCAAATTCCTGGTTTTGTTAGTGCTTTACCATGTTCTGAAGGACCAGGATCGTTGTACCTTTCCAGCCGCTACGAAACCAGATTTCACGCCAGTGACTTCCGGTGTATCCCTCACAGCACGATCATGATACATGAGCGGTAAATTATGGAAGCCCTGGGACAACATCACAGTAAGCCCCATGGGTACTTCTACCATCCAATTTAGAGTCCGACGACCCATATAGCTTGCGCTGGCCGCTAATTTCTGCAATGGACCCCTTTTAGTCGCCATGGACGGTGCATCCGCCTGAGACTTAATCGTTGTCGCTGCTGTTAAGCCTGGTGTTACCCTTGTATCGTTGTTTAGTGTTCCTTCTCCCTGGCCAAAGACTCTCGGCGACCCTGGTGACTGCATAGTCTGGTATGCCTCATGGGAAGGTAGGTTATAATGAGCAGCAAATCTGTCCGAAGGCGGCTGTCGGATATTTTGCACCGCATTTAGCGGCATTTCGACGATCCCGGTAAGGAAATTGCTCATCGCTCCTGCGAAAGCCTCGGTCCCTAGGCAGCCATAGTTTGTGTTATAGCGTTTTGAATAGTATCTGTTTTCCTAATTTAGCTAAGACGCGCGATAAAGCTCCGAGGTGAGTTGCCCACAGTTTTACATCTTTTGGGTTGAGTTTCTTGTCCACGACTAAAACAGTGGCCGCAAATGCACTAAGCAGTATTCTTGTGCTCTTGATGCGCCACACGGCTGGACGATCAGGGCACAGCGCACATTGAAGACGTTGAGTATCCAGCTGCTGGTGAAAGTTGTCTACTGCACTGCGAGCACCGTCCTCTGCTCGAATATTCTCACCCAGCTTCTGTGCCTTTTCGGCAGTGTCAGGCTTCAGACAGGAATGGATTGCGCTGGCCAAACGGTCTGCAGTCAGGTTTCGTATTGGAATAGGCGGGGGCCCGGCGCCGTTCTGTGCCACCAAAGACCCCCAAAAGGGCTGGTCGCCGAAAAACGGGACAATGATTGTCGGTCGTCCCAAGGCAACTCCAGTAGCTGTTGTTCCAGCACCACCATGATGAACCACACAGGAGACTCTCTGGAATAACCAGTCATGCGGGCAGTTACCTAAGAAGAATACATCACGTTGGTTAATTTCGTCGGCTCCAAGTCCACCCCATCCTTTTGAAATGATGGCCCGTTGGCCTGTTATTTCGACCGCCTCAAGGATAGTTTGCGTAAGAGCATCTGGATCATCGACTACAATGGAACCAAATCCAATGTACAGTGGCGGGGGGCCCCCGTCTCAAGGAAATCGGCTAGATCCTGTGGAGGAGTATAGTCGCGATTCGAGGGAAGAAATTGGAAGCCGGTTACATTGATGTGATCGGGCCAGTCATCTGGCTTGGGAAGCAGTGAAGGGGACCTATTGACAAGTGATGAATATATCTACGTGGCAGTAATCAAGGTAGAGTGCGGACCAGAGATATGTGAAGGGGACACGAAGCCGGTGGAGCAAGCTCGGCGCGCCTGTGCCTTCCAGCTGATCCAAGCCCAGCTCAAAGCGACGGAACTCATTAATCAAGTCACCCACCCCTTGCCAGATGAGCATCTCTGTAAGAATATAAGAAACGAAGTTGGCAACGGAAGGTCTTGTATCGTGGGTAAGAATATTAGCCAGGGGATGTGGAAAGGCCTGAGTAGGAGACCATGGCATCCTAGGAACATCAATAACCGTTTGCCTAGATTTCATAGACAGGAACCTACGTAAACATCAAATGCAGAGGTACTCCCATTTTCTGGGCACAATGGAAGTGTGCAAAACTTGGCGGATTTGCAATAATCGCGTCAGCCACGAATGGCAGCGCAGTTATGGCCTCGTTACCAGTCGTGTCGATGCCTTCGCCGCTTTCGAAGCAAGACCGCCAACATCCTCCAATCATTTTTCGAATCTCTCCGCGACGTCTCCCGACAGTCCCTTTAACAAGAGTCTCCATCTTGGGGATCAGCTTCGGGTTCTTGACCATGTACGACATTAATTCCGCCGGGTCACCCCCGATATTGAAGAACTCCAGCCCATTATCTTTCACAAAGTCTCGGAATACGAAATGAGTCGCCAGTCTCACGCGATGTCCCTGTTTTTGCAGAGCCCGGCCCAGTGCAACGAATGGTTGGACGTCACCACGCGATCCAACAACATGTATCACCACATTAAGCCGGAGTGGAAAATAAGCCTCCTTCTCGATCTCTGAAGGATGCGGGATTGGCCGGCGCTGGAGCGCCTGTAGCAGACTGGCTACTTGCGGATCGTCTTCGTCGACCGCGATTCCCACGCGGCCATCATCTGGAAAAAATAACCATCAGTAAGAGCCATTCGACATCGCAGGTTTACTCAAGGAGCTATATCAAACCGGTCACATGAGCCTCTGAATCACGGCCATCGGTAGGGTGCCCATGTCGCCGCCGGTCGGCCGGCGCTGAAAGAAGAGCCAGGGGAATACTAGCTGCCGCCCCGTTCGCCATGTTAAACCGAGTTACGTTCAAGGGAGCGAAGATCGAAGATGAGGGTTTTGCTAGAACTTCTTCAGGTGAACGCTGTGGTGCGCGCGGAATGTGGGGGGGTTACTTCGTGAATAGTCCGAGCCCGTGGTTCTTAGACCAGTTTCAAGGGTCCAGGTGATGTAATTTAACCTTATTTGCAGCCAATCCACTTATCAGGTTTATCCAATCATTTCTATTATATGCCTCTATATAACGCAATTCCCCGCCGATCCGAAGATCTCGTTAAAGGCTGCAACACAATGTGGAAACTCGAAGTTATTCCCAACCGCCAACACACGCGTATTTTTATGAAAATCTAATTATCTATGTATGTAAGATATTTAGTTTTAGTATGTACTACGAATATCCTATAAATGTATATTTTACAGGGGTACGTGTGTTGGTATTTATATGTTTAATATTACTGTCCCAATACCCAGACTTGAGATCCTTTGAAGCATGTTGGAGAAGGATAAGGACTTGATTGTTCGCCTTGTCGTTGCTCGCTCTGTGCCGAGAGAAGATCGCGACATTTACCCAAATGCTGTAGATTTGGCCGTTGAACATGAATACATCCGGTGAGCCTGGGGGATAAAAGGAAGACAAGTCTTCCTCGCAATCGGTATCGAAGTAGAAGTGCAGTTGCGGTTTACCTAACGAGGTAAAAAACACCTTGACTGCTTCCAAAGCACGACTTGTGTACTGCAAGAGGTAATTCTGGACCTCTGCTGCACGGTAACGACATGAAGGGGCATTATGCGAGGATAGCAGATTGGACAATATAATCTCACGTCTACTCAGAGTAGGCTGGCGAGAAACGTTGACGAATCTGCCCCCCTGCGCCCAGAACACCGAAAACGTGTCTAGCGGCGGTTACATGGACGATACGAGAAAGTTTTCTTAGGCAAAGTCTGCATGTCCACAGCGGACCTTCAGATTAACGCGCCCGGAACGTAGGGGAGCGCGAGCCAGCTGCCCGATAGCGTTGGTGGTCATGACCAAGATGCGGTCTGCCTGTGCGGGATATGTCATCAGTAATGTTAAGCAAAGCAGACAGAGCGATCGCGTTGGAGCATTGTCTATCACTGTCCGCTTCCACTTCACCAGCCTTCGAATATTGTCGGGAAGGTGATGCCGATGGCTCTATGATACGACTTAAAACACCATGGCCAAATCATGTTTTGCATTCTAACCGCCAATGGCCTCTATCACGAGAGCAACTGGTACGCGCCTGTCTCCAATTGATCGTCATCCACTGATGACATCTAGGCCTCACACTACTCGGGGCCTCTCGAGATAACATGGAACGAAGTGGCTGCCAAATGTATCGGGGAGAGGGAGTATTTCCGGGCGAGTCCACAACATAGAGGCGACCACGCGGTGTATTTAAAATAGACGGGGAAGTACGGGCTTTTTCCTACCTGCCGGTGAGGTCCATTGAGAAATAACTGCATGTTGCAATGCATGGTGTCTAACCCTCAAAGCTTAGATCATACAGTAGCGTTGTTGCGCAAACGGGCAGTCAACTGGAGGGGTAAGCCTATTTTGTCTGTCTGGAAAGAGCTTTTGCTGACTTATTGCTTGGTCGTGTATTCCTCTCAGCGAGATTGTACAACAATAACTATCTTCTTTAGTGCTTATATTAAACGGAATGGGGTTCCATGAATGATGGAATGATACAATCAAAATTATTTCTCACTACAGTGACTCTACTTGCTGAGAATTGGAAGAGAGATCAAGTATTTCTATATACTAATATAGTAAATCTAGATATCTTAGAGCCGGCCCACTTCTCGGAGACAAATGAGTCTAAAATTGATATATATTTATGCCTGGGGCAACTATAAGTATAAGACAACTATATACTCCGGCCTGAGGAGTGAGTTAGCTGGTGAACAACCAGATATATATTCTCTTACACTCTATTCCTCGCGCCCGCTGAACAACACCCCCCAACGCTGTTAAGTTTATTTTACTCGATTGTCTACTGAGTGCTCCTTTCGAAATGGGATAGAAAAAAATAATAGCCGAAATGAGATATTAATTTTGCGAAGTTAAATCATGGAAGCAGTCGGACAGTATAACTTAAAAAAGAAGCCCTGCTCTTCCGTACTGCCTTCTTTTGCTATCTCTGGTCAAATTTCATAGATCTTTAATTTGAGCTTATTAAGTTACTGGAAAAGAGACCTTATAAGAATTAATAATGAATTCTAAAAATAATCATTTATAATTCCTCAGAGATATACTCAGAAAGAAAAAGAAAATAATATCTTCAAGTAACCACAACTCCTATAACCCGAAACTAAGCAGGTACTTTGTAGAGCCAAAATACAGTCTATTATTTTTAAAAATATAACCTACTATCTTGTAAAGCATACAGAAACCATCCCTAACTAGTACTGAACAAAATGCGGTGAGAGCCCAAAGAAAGATCAACATATGATGTACTTGTTAGGCAATCCATATGGTCCCCCTTCAACATCATCCTGGGACAGGACACAGTCAGCCCGCTGTTTTCTATGAGGTGATGCGAGCCTTGACTAATCCAATAATATCTGGAATAGGCCATTCTGTCTGATAATACACATCTCTTTCTAGTAGCTATCTTATAATCAAGCGAGATTAAGCCGGGAAATATGCTGATAGAATAACTTGCCCTGGACCTCAGTAATAGAAAGCTCAAGCTTACTAGACTGACGGGAGCGATCCGCCCCCTAAATCAAAGAAGCATATTCAATATGGCCTGGACGTACAATAACGAGAAAATAATAAGAAAGAAGAGAGAAAACCAATACTAAAAATACTAATACCCCAGACACTTCCACCATGGATCTCCTTGAGATTAGTAAGAAGCAGAAATATCGTCTTATAATCTAGAGATATATAAATAAAGCCATAATAGGCGAGAGTACTCATAGCCGCTAATACAGTAGATTCCTGGCCACCTCCCAGGATTCCGGTCGAGACGAACAGACTGGCATATTTGCTCCAGTAACCGCCCGACGCCCAAATACCACCAGTCTGATCCCAAAAAGCTTTCCATTGGACGGGGAAGTTCCCAAAGCAAGTGGAAATACTGAAGAAAACAGCTTCATATTAAATTGATTACTCCAGCTTAATTACAGATACCAAAGATTTGGGGGAAGTGTGCATCTTCGCCAGGACCTCAACAGAGAGCATCTCTTAGATTCTTAATTATTTACTTTAGCTTTCTACTTAGAAATATAACAAAGCATGACTTAGAATGCTTATTAATAAAGATCAGTATGACTACCAGCAGCTTAGATTTCCTTCAATTCTACTTAAACCAATCTTTTAATATAGCTGTACATGGAGTACTGTCCAACCACATTATTAGGAACAGTATTAGCTATAAAAATGGGATTTAACTTACAAAAGTAATAACAACTCTGGGAGCCATGGCGAGATAAGAACAATTAAAATAAGAAAATAATAATCTAAAACAGACTAAGAAACCTTGAGCTGGATGATAAATTATCTAAAAGACATTAATATACATGGGGTGAACACCAAATCTGGATATAAATAGAGGGTTTCAATCTATTTTTAACACTCGGATGGCCCAAGCATGCATGTAAACTTTGGATGGTAGTAGTTAATAATAAACTAATTAGATTATTCTTACCTCAGAAGAAGCTTAGATTATTAATTACAAATAAGTGTTAATCCATGGGCTAAATCTGTCGCCTCTTAAGATTAATTTGTGAGCCATCTCTATTCATCTAGTTGGAAGTCTTCTCACCTGTAATAACCTATTTCATACTAACTCCGTAGAATCATGACAGTTTACGGCGCGGTCATATATCAGTTGAACAGTAGATATAGATATTATATCTTTATTATTCAATCTTCTACTCATTCTTAAATCTAGTATTATTTCTAGGATTCCTTTATCTACAAGAACTTTTGAGACTCTAGATAGAAAAAATCCTGTGGTTTATCAGAATAGCTCCGTCTTATTAAATCTATAAACTAAAA